CCCGCCGTGGGGCAGGCAGCTCGCCCTGGGGGGCCACGGGCACCCCGAGAGCTCGCCCGGAGGGCGCGCAGGCAACACGGGCACCCCAACACATCACCATGGGGTGCGAGGGTAGCCCAAGAGCTCACCCACCGAATGCACGGGCGCCCCAAGAGCTCACCCACATGGCACATGGGCACCCCAAGAGCTCACCCACGGGGCACATGGTGCTGCACAGGCACAGAGCTCACCCATCACGTGTGCAGGCACCCCAAAAGCTTGCCCACTGGGTGCAGGGGCAGCGCAGGCACCCCAAAAGCTCGCCCACTGGCTGTATGGGCACCCCAAGAACTTGCCCACCAGGTGCGCAGCTATCCCAAGATCTCACCCCCCGGGTACGTGGGCAGCACAGGCACCCCAAGAGCTCATCCATCAGCTGCGTGGTGCTGTATGGGCACCCCAAGAGCTCACCCACAGGACGCACGGGCACCCCAAGAGCTCACCCACTGGGTGCATGGGCAGCACGGACACCCCAAGAGCTCATCCATCGGCTGCGTGGTACTGCACGGGCACCCCAAGAGCTCGCCCACCGGGCGCCAGGGGCCGCGTGGGCACCGACATCCCGCTGCGCCCCCCCGGGGCGAGGGTCCCCAGCCCGATTCCAGCCCTGCATGGAGCAGGGCCCCCCCGGGGGCGGCAGCACTTGCCTCATGGCTCAGCAGAGCCTCCCAGTCGGCCACCTGCACCACCTCCATGCCCCAGCGCTTCTCCAGCAGCGCGTCCTTCACCATCACCGAGGTCGCCCGCAGCCCGAAGGAGGCGAAGAGGTTGGCGTGGATGTAATTCCTGGTGCAGTGGAGCTTCCTGAGGGGAGTGAGGGTGTCGGGGGGCCGGGTGGGCGGCGTGGCACCCCTCGGCTGGACCCCTTCCCCTCCCACGGCGAGTGGTCCCGCCAGGCCTGGCTGCCGTTCACTGTCACCCACTGCCCGTCGGCGCCGCACCGGCGACTCACCAGCCCGTGTTTCACTGCGGACACGAAGCACCGGTGCGTTCCCCTCCGGCTCTCCCAAGCCCCTCTCCCGGCACCGCGGGTCGGACTCTGCTCAGCCCCAAAGAGCCTCGTCCAGGGCCGGCGTTAGCGGGGTACAGGCTGGCACCTCTCTGTGCCCCACGTGTCCCCTTACCCCCAGGGCTGCTTGTGGGTCCCTCTCCCCCCAGCAGCGGGCAGAAGGGGAAACCCCAAGAGCATCTCCCCCCTGCAGCATGGCTCAGCCCTGGCTCCCCTCCAGCTCCGGGGTGGCAGAGGGTCATTGTCACCTTTCTCAAACCAGGGCAGGTAGAAGGGGCAGGAGACGTTGACGGCGGTGCCGGGGCTCCCGTCCGGCCAGCAGGCGTACATGTCAAATGTCCGGTTGCAGAAAAGCCCTTCCAATGGCAGCGAGGGGGGGGAAATGCCAATGGTCAGATGCTGGCGGTG